CATCTAAGGAAATGCCATTTACAAGACAAACTGCAGGTATATTATTAACACACCATGACATGGCTATGGAAAATGAATGTATCTAATGCTTAAGGCCACCACAAGATGAATTAAGAACTACAGTTGACCCAACATGATATGGGCAGAGGAGATATCTAATGCAGAATGAGGATTCATTTGAAAGAAAGTCATGAATTTCACAGAAAGAGAGATAGAAGAGAAAAAACTCCATACCAGTGATGTTTACCCTCTTAACTTTGCCAATTTTTATGTTAAAAATGCAATGACATGATATTTTGTTTAGTGCACTTGTTATAAAATTTGGAAGTAAGTTGTAATTGACACTTGAGAAGGAAATGTAACCAGAAAAATGAAAGCCAAAGACCCTCCTTGTTTGAAAGATTAATTTCCGAAATTTTATTTCCATATCATATGTATTTCAATCATTTATCTTGCCTTGAACACTCTCTAGATAATTCGAAAAATTAACTAGACTAAATTCTTTAGATATTTAGTTTCTTAGGTAGTTGGAGTCCCTTTTACCAAGGAAAAAAGAAAATCAATATAAATATATAAAAATTTCTTCATGGAAAAAGAAATCGACCTTCCAAAAACTAGTTGTCAGAGAAAAGAAGAAAAATAATGAATAAAAGGTCAACCATATGGAGCATGAGTTACCTATCTAGTGCAGTTAAGTATTTATCATAGACAGAGAATTGCAGCCGACCACCAGTTGACGATGTAAGCACCTCAAAAAGATTTTCACTGATAATAACATTGGCAATAATTGGAACAGCAGGAGCTATTCGAGAAAAGGCCTCCACACCAACTGATGCATCCCCATCTATCTGCAAAAGAGATTAGGACCACAGCAATTAAAATCAAATAGCAAACTCCGCATGAATACTGAAGCCACAATAACCTGCAAAATTCTCTTCCTTAGAGTGTCTGTATTTGGATGCATACACACACAGTGGTTCATACATGTGTGCACAGGAACATTAGATAGTGCAGAAGCATGTTCAGGGTAAATTTCTTCAATAAATGCTGCAAAGATTTTGACCTTATGTCAAAGATGCACAATTTCTAAACCAATAGAACTTACATTAAGTAAAGGTTGGCTGGATGCCGCGGGAGCCTCCCATGCTACCATCATGTCATATGTTAAACGTCGAAACTTTTTATCAGCAAGATGACCAACTACTTGAGTAGACAGAGCAAGTGTCCTGAAACAGCAGAACTCCAAAAAGTTTTTTGCATACCGTGTTGGATGCTTTATGGACTCAGAAGCCTCTACATTAAAGTTTTCTTGAAGCTGAGTTGACGAAATGTCAAGGATTCTGCACCATTCCATTTATTACTCTTAAACGGACTACATAAAAAGTAAAGGGTAAACAAACTATATAAAAAGTAAAGAGCACGTAAGAATTATTACATATATGAGGTAGTTGTTAAATTGTCCCCACAAACACTTTCAAATCAACATTAAGCATGAATAGATTCAACTAAAATAAGTAACAATGACAAGTAAGGAAATGATACACTTACTTTGAGCACCTACGTACAACTACATTAGCAACAGGAGAGAGCTCTGGTATCCAGTTTGTCTGTGCAGATGGAGATCTCCCCATCTCCTCAAAGTCCTCGTCAAATGGACTTCGTTTTGTAAGCAACCATTTGAACGATCCTTCTTTAACCAAACCCTCAAGGATATTTCTGGTTTTGCTAGCCATAGCCATCTTTGGTGTCAACTTACCACACTGCCACAGAAATTATTGAATTTAGATTAGCAAAACTCAATTTCATGGCAATAAATTGATGCAGATTAGTTGTCCACTCATCCAATATGATAAGTCAAAAGTTACTCCATTAAAAACCAAAGTAACACTAAGCTTTCTGCCTTGCCAATCTTTTAATATTTGCACAACAAAACTTTGGTCTTGAAAATACCAATTTTTTCAATAAGGGCGCCAAATTTGAGCAACTTCTCAAGATAATCTAATATGGAAACCAACTAAGTATCTTACATTTTCAAAACCCAGTTAACAGATTCATTGGATTACAGTAACAACTTCCTACTCAAAATCCAGTATCCCGTTCAGCAATCACTCAGTTTCAGCCTCCCAAATCAACCCATCAACGAAAACTAAAAACCTCGACATTCATTCAAATTTATAGCATTAAATTCCTCCAAAAAGCTTACTTCAATGAATTCAACTAACCTAAAAACCAAATCACTTACTTCAAAATTCCGACTAAAACCCACCAAGCGTCAAACATTAAATTATATTACTACAACAAAATTCCAGAAAACCCACCTCGGATCAACTCCAAATAAGCTGTCGTTCTCAAATCCATTTCACCAAACCGCCATATTCGCTAGATTACATTTAGCTCCTAACCAGAAAAGAAGAGTTCGAAGCTGCTTCTACTATGGGCATTCATGATTCTGTCGTGATCTTGGGTTTACCGAGCGAGATTATATGGGAATATGATGCAATAGCTTGGATGAGACCTATACGAAATCCCTGTTCGTAAACTCTCTCACTAGTCTACAATGAGGCAAGCAGGTTACCGGGTTATGATTAGAAACAGCCGGGTCTACTGGATGCCGCGACGCACTCATATCTGATTCGTTAACGTACAAAAAAGTCAAAAATATTATTGAATGCCGACGTCGAAAGGCCTAACCCCGTTCCTATTAGATCTGGCCTTGAGCGGCGAATATAATTATTGCTATTTTCTTTTTTAACCTTTTAATTTCGGCTGGGACTTTTTCTACAAATAATTAATCATTTATATCTCATTAATTATATAATGATAAAAATTACAATTAAAAAATAAATTATTATTATTATAATCTTTAGAGCGGATTATTAGGGTATATTTTTATTTTAACACTAAATAATTTTTATATTACAAAAAGAATTTTACGAACTTTTAATTTTTTCTTTCAATTCATTGAAAGATTTTTTTTTTTTTTCATTAACGGCTAACACTGTTAATTTTTAATTTATTGAAATATTTATTTAAACAAAATCAAAAGTTCAAAATACATTTAAATGTAAAAAAAAAAAAAATAGAGAAATTTTTCTAATTATTTTAAATAATACATAAATGTTTTAAGTATTTTAATTGTAATTTTATCATGTAAAAAAAAAAGAAGCTTTTATGAGGCCCAAAAATAAAAGCCCATTTTACATCTGGGCCCAACTAATCAAAGCCCAACATGAAATGATAAAAAGGCCTGTCTTGAGTACTAACAAATAAATTTCTATAACAATTTTTTAAAAAAAATTCTGGGTAAATCTGCCACTTGTATTACTTTGTTTTTATTTAGTTAAAATAAATAAATTTTAAAATTAAAAAATTGAAAAATAATTTATTAAAATATTTATTTTTATTAAAAATTCAGAATTTGTTTATTTATTTATTTATTTATAATATATTAAAAATTCAGAATTATATATATGCACTGGTTGATTTTTGTCAGTAGCAAGAAATGAAGACACATGGATGACGAATCATCATGGAGTAAACATGTTTCAAGATTTGACGTCTAAATTCTCCATTTTTGTTTCCTTCTTCTCCTTTCGCTTTCAACAGTATATATATATATATATATATATATATATATATATATATATATATATATATATATACACACACTCCACCATGGACATGGCTGCTCATCAACTATCTGTATATAGATCTATGTGTATATACATACACACGCACACTGGATCCAGCTAGCTTTAAAGATGATTGAAACGAGAATGCTAATCATGTTGTTGTGCATATTCATACGGTACAATTCTCAGACAAAAAAGCTTTCAAATATTTATACCTCATAATTAAATATGATTAATTACGTTAAGAATAGTTTGATTTAGCTAATTAAGAACAATCTTATTCATTAATTAGGGTAAAAATATTGATCACCCATAAAGCCCTCGTTCTGTATCTTAATTTGTTTCCTCTGTTTGGGATTGTAGTATCCTACCATATAAAATAAATATATGTATATGTATATTATGCTGAATTCTTGATTTACAACCAGTTTATATGTTTTAATCAAAGAAAAAATAAGCTAGTTTAATAATTCTTCATCACTAAAATAAAAAGCAGTTTAAGTGAGAGAAGAAGACTTGGGTCCCCACTAATTAAGCTCTCAAAAGCTTTTGGTCCAACAGGGATGGGCTTAAAAGATATGCCCAACGATTCTGAGTGCTTTTTTTATATGATTGCTATATGTATGTACTCATGCATATAATATATATATACACACACACACACACAGATAGAATTCATCATGAGTATATTTAATTCTGTAAGTGAGCACTTTAATATTCGATTACTTGAATAGTGTATATATAGCAAACCAATTCGTTAGTTATGTAATAATAAAAAACTCACTTCTTTCAATAATGCAACACATTATGTATATATAGATATATATAATATGTTGCATTATTGAATAACGAGTGACCGTATATATGTGTGTGTGTGTGTGTGTGTGTATATATACATACACTTCACTTAAGCTCAATAAAATCTTAATTGCATACTTATGATAGAATTTTTAATAGAATAATAAAATTCTATATAGGTCACATCACTTTTATTTGCTGCCATTGTCATATAAGACCCTAATTTTTGGATTAATCGCCATATTTTTGCCACGTTTGATCCGGATTATGCCGACTAATTAATGGGATTTACTTAAAAAGCAACTTTTTAGTTGAACATTGGATTTATAAAGTTTGAAATCAGGAAGTGCATGCATATATATGTATGTATATATAGGAGATCCCATTTGATCATTTGGTTCCATTTTTTTAGTGGAATTAAAATCAGAATCTTTGAGAGAAGCCACATCAACACACATATTCGTACATATATGAATATAACACAACCACTTTGAGAAAGCTTTTAGTAAAGAATTAAGTTTCTGTAGCTGGATCTTTGAACTTGCCCATGTTAGTTGCTAATTCTATCTCCAACTTTCACCTAATATGTGACCCTCAATCTAATATATATATATATATGTACATAAATGTATATATGGTCACTAGACTCTCCTATCCACTAAGCTAACAAATGGGTCCTCCTTGTTTGGCTTATCTCCTTGCCTAGTTCATGCATATGCCACAAGAAACAAGACAAAAGACCAGGTCAAAAGAAGGTCAAACAAAAGAAAGAAAGATTTTGGGAGTGGCAAAATGATATGTCTATTTAATTAAATTTTAAAAATAAAATAAATTCTCTAAATATACTTCAAATTAAATTGAAATTATCCGGTCACATAATTAAAAAACCTAAAAGATGAAAAAATCTAATATCCTAATGATAGAAAAATCGTCAATTGAAATACTGATAAATAACTATTAATATTTTTAAGATAATAAATTTTTTTTTATTAATTTTATAAAATAAATAAATCTGTAAAGATATAAGTTATTTACTTATAAATAAAAAATTTTTACCGTAATTTAATACAAATATGAATATAAGAGTTGTAATGTATTATAAATCATTATTCTTTTGGGTATTCCAAGTACATAATTCACCATGGTAATGTTCAATTGCATACAAGCATATATATATGTATATGTATATACACATCAAAAGTAGCTTTCTGATAGAAGGAGGTTTCACATTTGAGAGGAGGGAGGTGAACCCACATTGCCCTACTCTCTTTAGGGCACAAACGTGGACCCATTTTGAAGCTGTCCTCACAATCTAAGGAATGCACTGCATCTACCCTCTAATTATCCTTTTCACTCTAAACACCCAATATATAAATATACTTATATAATTACAAAAAATAATACATATTTATATAATTTAATTTGATTGAGCCTCTCATCTCCAATCATTCACTTCATGAATTGGCAACGTCCAGAAAATCTACTGTATTCATCAATTCTCTGTGGGGATCCAATACATATACACACATGTATATAGTATTTTGTTTGTCTTCAGCAGTCGACTTGTTTGGTTTCGTCACTAAAAATTTTATAGAAGAATAAAAATAAAAATTCTTGGTTTTTTTTTTTTTTTGTAGGGACAAACACGGTCTTAGCTCCCAACAAGGATTTACAGACACTGAATTTTAGCGACAAATTGGATTTTTTTTTTTTCCCCCGAAATTTTTCTTCCCTACAAGTTGTTGGAGGGAAGAAACAAGTAGTTTGCTAAGCGACCCTACACGGATACACAGACATGGGAACTACCTGTCTGCTTGTGGTCATAATATTAAACAACTTGTTTCTTTACCCGCCTTAGTTTAACTAGCTAGTTCCGAGTTCAATTGTGTTATGGTACTGTCTTTATTTCAATTCGATATTATTTTTTTATTCTGTCACGATTGATATTTATGTATCGTTTATTTTTATTTAAGAAGAAAACACAATTTAAACCGTTTTATTTATTTATAATATTTGATTAATTATACAGTGATTTAATTATTAATTTAAAATTAAAAAATTTTAGAATGATAATGTAAATTGTCCATATTATTTGATAATATTTATATCTTATTTAATTAAAATAAATTTAAACGTTGGTTCGATTTCTAAAAATATAATTTATTTGATCAAAAAAATAAATAAATAAAATTATTTTTCTTAATTATCTAATGATAAATATCTGACATTAATTTGGAAGAATAATCAGCATATGGAATCTGTTTAATAAAATATTAGGAAAAAAATTATTATTGCCTTTTTCGTCATATATCACTATCTTAGACTCATAGAATTATTAAGCACTGAAAATGAGAGATTAATAAATAATTAAGGTTTGAATTGATTATAATTGTTAGTGTCCACGCATGCAATAAATCAATTAATTATAAAATTAAGACTTAATTGTTGATAAATGGGTAAAGTCCAAATTAACACATGTGATTTAAGGATGTTCATGAAACATTGTATTCAAATCATGTTTGGTTGTGGTTCATTTACATGAGATGAAATGGTATCATTGATTTATGTTGTCGGATGATCAACTTATAAAGATCCTAATAAATACACCATTAGCATAAACAACAACAAAAAATAAATAAATTAATAACTAAGAAGATAATGATATTTTCACATGTAAGTAACAACCACATGAATAAGATTATTTTTTTTAAAAAAAATATAGATTCTTAAATTAGTTGCAACTTAGTTATTTAATTTCTATTTTGAATTTTCATTAAATTTATAAATATTGTATTATAAAGAAATCTGTTTGATATTTAAAGATTGTTCAACAACAGTCAGACAAGTAAAGAAGATTGTAAAACTATAAAAATATAGTAAAATCTTATTTAAATATTGGCTAGATAAGTGTTTTGTAATAAAAGTGAAGAGTCATGGATACCGTAAACCAGCCCTATAGATGTGGTAAAAGAAGGGCTTCAATTGATTTAAAAAAAAAAAAAAAATAGGAGAATAATAAATATAGTGAGAGTTAAATTCTTGGTCGTCAAAATAAATAAGAGAAAAAAATCAAGAAATAAAGATTTATCTGTTTCAAAACACATCGATATTAGAATGACAAAATTTTTAGAACCCAATTAGAAAAGCAGATTAAAAAAAACTCATAATATTACTACAATTTTTTATGATTTACAAATATATTGATGATTTTGTGTAAAGATTGGCAATTAACAAGTATACATGATCTCTAAATTTTTATTTATTTTTTTTTTCCACTTGTTACAAGTTTTTGGTATATGCTTAATTGATCTATAATGGGGAAATTGAGGAGCCACCGTCAATGTTCACAGACTTGTATATTTTCCAAATTAGGAGTCAAATCCAAAAGTAGAGTCAGAGAGGCCACGATGAAGAGAGATTTCCAACTCCATTAAATCCACCTTCTTTCATTAATCTCACTATTTCTCTAGACTCTTCTGCCTTTGCCCTCTGCAAAATTTAATCAAACACACAAAACTTAGTTCAACTACTAAAACCCAAACCAAAAAAACTTTAATTAATTAGTTTATTACGGATAATCGTCTAATTAATATTTAAAATTTTGAATTAATTAGCAATTACCTGCATTGTTTCGATGGCATCTGATTCTGAATTGAAGTCGTAGAATGTGCTTGCTGCTGTAAGCTTCATGGATAGAAACTGAATCCAAATTCCAAAAATCAAAACGTTATAAACTAATTAGGAAAATAAATTAAAATAAAAACTAATATAAAATATATGTTCGTCGTAACTATAAATTAATTAATATCATCACTCACCTCAACTTGATTTTGCAACGACTGAACATAATTGATTATTTCATCCAACATCATCGCCATACCCATTGTCTGCATTATATTCAATTTACATAAGATTTTGCGTGAAGAATAATAGGTTATGAATAAAATTCATTGCATATACATATATATATACCTTGTAGCAGCCTGGGACAATATCTTGCAAGCATCTTAATCTCTCATTGATTTTCCCTCTTCTAACCTGATCAAAAGAAGATTCAATTCAATGATTAATTAACTGTTTAATTAATTCCCATAATCTCTTTTTAAGATATTAAAATTGACGTTGGTCAACTCGGTAATTATTATATTATTTAAGTTATTAAATTAATTAGAAAAATAAATTTTAAAAAAATAAAAATCTTACCCTTTCGGCTAAACTGTGGCTGTCAGTAGCTTGGCCTCTTCTAGCTCTAACATGAACCACTTCTTTTGATTTCTCATCTTCATTACTCTTCACTCTTTTTCCTCTTCCTGAACTCTGCAAATTCAAAACATCCGATTCAAAGAAACCCATTAATTTAAATTTTATAATAAACACACCCATTAAATTAAATAAAATTAAAAAATATCAATTACGGGCTGATTACTTACTTGTTTTCTCTTGCTCCCGCTATCAGACACTGGAGGTGAAGGAGCTGAGATTCCGGAGCTGCTTTCTGAAACAACCTCCATTGATTTTCTTTTCTTGGTTTCATGATTATTAAAAGTAATTCTTGGTGCGACACAGGGCTGAGAAACTATAGGCATGACTGCATTCTGATTGGAATCCTGGAAAATACCCAGAAAATTTTCTGGGAAAGTTGGAGGGAAATCAGGAGCTTGGTTGCCAAACAAGGCTTCGGCAGAGAAAGGTAAGAAGCTTTGGAAATTGACCAAGTTTGAGGCATCTGCAATGGCTGTACTGCTGGGATTTAGCCCCGCAAATTGGTTGACTGACTCCACGTTCGGATTATCAGTTTCCATAAAAGGAAATGATGAGGATCTGAAGCTCTGCAAATCTGCTGAGAAGCCAGCCATTATTAAAGCTTCTTTTTTCCGAAATGTAAAAAGAAAATCAGAGAATATTTGAAAAATGGCAGGGAGAGGGTGTTTCTGAAAACCGAGGACTGAGACTCGTATTTATACTGCAATGGATATAATGAAGTTATAAATGTTACAATTTATTTAATTGGCTAAATTTATTTTTTAAAAGAGAGAATTTTGAGAGGGCCACGTGGCAATAGCAGCTTCTGGGGTTCGTGTTTGCTGAATGGGCCCCAGGTTCAGGAGATATATCCAATAATAGAATGGGCCCATGAAATGTGCTTTTGGGCCCCACTCTATATATGTGAAATCGGCTCTGCTAGTGTGGAGTTGCTGATGAAGAGATCCTTTGTAAGAAAAACAACAACAACAACAACAAATGACATGATGCTGGAACCACTACTAAGGACAGAGTAAAATACATACATGCATACATACATATATATATATATATATATATGAATCTTTAACCCTTTGTTCCTTTTAACCATTTTGTACATATAATATAATATATATATAATTCTTATACAATGTTTTTTTGGCTATATTTGTTATTATTTGAAATTATTATTAAATGTCAAAAATCCAATTTTTGATGGTAATAATAAATAAGAAGAGGGTTATTTTGTAAAATAGTATTTAAAAAAAATAGTATTTGGAGGTACAAAAAAAAGTGGGAATGAAAATTTAAGCAGAAGCTAATATGAAAACACCGTGAATTATTAAAATAAATAAGACATTTTCAAAGTCAGTAGCTTGTTGATTATGAATCTTGAACACACAAAGCAAAGATTGACTAATTATAAATAAACTGAAATTTAGAAAGAAGGAAGAACAATCCTAATTATTTGTATGTAGAACATGTTGATGTGTGTGTGTATATATAAATATAATACTTTAATAAATAGTTATTAGTATTATTTAGATGGGTGGGGAGGTGTATCATGATCATCATCACCACACAAAGCTGTCTGAAATAACAAGTGTGTTATAATTGGTGCAAGACGCATTTGGACATAAAAGGGACATCTCAACCAACTATTCCTTCAAACCCACTTGCTTTTCACTACTTATTGGATTACAACATTTCTTCATTGCTTTTATTTTGCAAGTGTAAATATTTTTTTCTGTTATATCAATCCTAATACAATTATTCTCACCCTAAGAAAATAATAAAAATAATTATACATTAAAATCACACCACTATCTAAAAAAATCGAGTTTTTTTTTACCGTCAATGCTTCGATGGATATTGAATTATATTTTTAAATAAAAATTTAAT